ATCACATCAACAACAATAACAATAACAGTAATAAACGTATTTGTAACGATAATAAAGCAGTGCACCTTAATAACAGATCAACTTTTTGGAACATAGTCGATAGATTAGCAGCAATACGCATGATTGACGATATTGAAGTGAACACTAATTGTAAGTGAAACGATCTGAANATCACATCAACAACAACAACAATAACAGTAATAAACGTAATTGTAACGATAATAAAGCAGTGCACCTTAATAACAGATCAACTTTTTGGAACATAGTCGATAGATTAGCAGCAATACGCATGATTGACGATACTGAAGTGAACACTAATTGTACGTGAAACGATCTGAAACCGTTTTATAAATGAGTCTCAAAGACGACAGTAAAGGATGTCTTCTGAAGTGCTGACACGATAACAATAACACCAACAACAAAAATATCACGTTTTGAGATGATGAATGCCTCTTATTTATGAAAATTTGATCGAAAAACTGATCTGAACTGATTGAAATGATCGATTCAAGCATTGTTCAAGCAATGGGAGACAATTGCATCTTGCATAGATTTTATAGTAAGTGCTGAAGAAATTTCTGCATTTGAATACGAAGGGAACAAGCATAAATTTGCTTGTTAATGAATTACGACTTGTGGTTAGTTATGCGAATGGCTCTAAAAAATAATTCAGCAATAGAAATGCGCAATAAGTACTTTTATCACTTTATCACTCGTTCATATCACTGACTGACGATCATTGTTAACGAAGAGTTAGTTGGCGAGTTTTGGTGTTCTGATCGAAATTGATTCGATCGAAATCTGATCGAAAAATTGGTTTGAACTGATTGATTGAAATGATCGATTCAAGCATTGTTCAAGCAATGGGAGACAATTGCATCTTGCATGGATTATAGTAAGCGCTGAAGAAATTTCTGCATTTGAATACGAAGGGAATAAGCATAAATTTGTCTGCTAATGAATGACGACTTGTGGTTTGTTATGCGAATGGCTCTATAAAATGGTTTTGCAGTAAAAAATCAACATTTACAAAAAGACAAAATGGAACAAATTTCTGCAGCAGCAATATAGAATCTGCATTAACGAGAATGAGACTAAAGCAATAATCACATTTCAAAATGACTTTTTGCATAACGAAACGCAATTCCAAGCAAAGCAATTTTATTCGTTCATATCACTGCACCACTCCAAAAATTAACTACTAATTGCAAATACGATCCGAGATGGGCATCGCTAACCCAATAACAAACAAAAACATCAATATATCAATACTCCTCGACAAATCGTTAACGCAGAATCGCAACGTCGACAATATATATCTAATTGTAACGTAACTTCAAAACCGATGATAAATATAATATAAAAAAAGTTTACAAGAATTTTCGTAACGATATTCATTCGCTTCGGATTTGTACCGAATTTTTGAAATTTCAAATCAGAAATTGCTACAACAGCTGATTTATAACTGTTTTCATATTGATCAAAATGCTCTAATTTTCTTATTCACATACGTTTTATCCACAGCACATAGTATTATACATCAGTAATACCAAATGTAATTTCAGTCTTTCTTAACAAGTTCGAGAAAGAGCTTAAATGTATTCTTGACACTATAGGCAATGAATTTATTAGAGCTTTCATCAAACTGATCAAAAGCCTTCATCAACAACGAATCCGATGACTACAGTCAAGGGAACTGTCTTCTCAGCGGTGTCCCCATCTTATAATGAACCAACTGAAGCGATTCAAACGCGTTTTGATCGAAATTGATCTGGATTTGGATCAATCTGGATCAAAGCACTGGTGGTCTGGATCGCACAATTCAAACATAAGCATGGCAAAAATGCTTGCTCCATTAATGACTTATTGAAGTTAATTAACGCCCTCTTGTAATGACTGGACCAATGAACACATGCAATTGATAGATAGAAGTTTAAGGCAGCAACACACCATCAGCCAAAGAAGAATTTACAAAGCGCTACTAGACATTGAACAATAGCATAGTTGTAGCCAACGATAAGGCAGAATTTCGTGGAGAATCTGTCGCCTATTAGCAGCTCATCAACGATCAACGTTTGTGAATTGCTGAAAGCAGTTGCTGGTGACTCCAGCTGATCCAGATCACCAGTGCTTTCCTCTTCTCCGCTGGCTAAACCTCGAAATCATCTTCGCATCCAAATGCTACAGAATACACCACCTGCCCGATGTTCTCCTCATTCCAACCCGTTGTAACAACCTCACCAATTCACTCCAACACTGCTGCCACCTTATGAGAAACCAGCCAGCACCCTAAGCTATTGCCTTCGAAACTTACATCGACTCCATTCCTCTCATGGTATCTTTTTAAAGGGTGTGCGTACAATTGCTGCAGTCTATTCAAATAAATCTATATTAAATATTATTGTATCGATGAAACAAATTTCTGATGATGACTTTTCACCATCCGAATTTTATACGAATCACCGAAGAGATGTGATGACAATCAATCACTCAAACGAAACGCTATGGAATGAAAGAAATATCAGTCAATCAAACACTACAAATCGAGTTCAAATCTTCAGAGAAATCTTCAGCATTAGAACGCTTGAAATGATGTTCACAACTGGACATTGAAACAATTTCGTTCACTTTATACAATTTATCAATTCAATCAAACAAACAATAGAATAATAATAATCGTAGAGTACAATTACAGCATCAAGAAAGAAGAATAAGAATTTAGTGATGATGATGATGATGTTTAAAAACGCGCATATGAACGCACCACGCACATACATTTTGAAATATATCAAAGTGACGACGGCAACAATAGAAATCATTCATAAAAGTTATCATATTATATACTGTTCATTGTAATACAGTGGAGTGTAGTCAAAGTCAAAGTGCAATTGCAAATATAGTGAAATGTTTCATTGAATCAGAACTGAAATTCATGATAAGCAATTGAAAAGCATCAATCAGTGAATCAATCAGTCAATCAGCGCTGATCAACACCACCGATCAGCAATTACAACCACCCGATGGCTGTGTTTGTTGTCGGTTGTCCAGTCTTATTTGATCCGGAAATTCGGGAAAATCTTGAACATCGTGTGATTCTCTTTGTAATGCATCACGTGCTATCTCTATGAATGCCTGCTCGACATTCAACGCTTCTTTTGCCGATACCTTAATGAGTTCAATAATCAGTCAAAACCCCCGATAAAATACACATACACTGTCCATATATAAATGATGCGTCCGTCAATTTAATATCGTCAAAATAACTTATATAACTGGAATAGTAATAAGCTTAATGGTAATTAACAAAAACAACAACAAAAATGAAAATTCAACCTCATAATATTTCATTTTATTCTTGGAATTACACCACGACTCAGCCCTTTTGGTGCTCACTGCTCGATTCACTTCTAAATCGATTTTGTTTCCCAGCAGAACGAACGGGAAATGCTCTGGATCTCGTGGGCTAAAACAATCGAAATGTCATGCAAAACGTTGATGCAAAATGTGAATGCACTGAAGTGCTGATAAAAATGGTGACTAAGGAATTAACGATGAAGTGAATGCATGGCGCTTGTTGAATGAATAAAAAATGACCATATTATTGAGTTAAGTAAGTTCAATACCTTGCTTGGATAAGGAACTCGTCTCGCCACGATTCGAGACTTTTGAACGAGTTGGCATTTGTAACATCATACGTTAGAACACAACAGTCTGCGCCTCGATAAAATGCAACACCGAGAGATTGAAACCTTTCCTGTCCGGCCGTATCCCAGATCTGACATTTCATTCATCCGATCATTCTTTCAAACCCAACAAAAAACACTCATTCAACGAAACACTCGCAGAGAAACGCTACCGGACGTAAAACGAAAACGGAATAGATGCAGAAGGAAGTAAGTAATCCAGTAAAAATAATGTGAAAATCAATAAACCTGCATAGTAACCATTCTGTCGCCAATCATCACGTCTTTTGTTAGGAAATCAGCACCAATGGTTGCTTTGTACTGATTACTGAACCTTTTATTCACGTACTGGTTCATCAAAGACGTCTTACCAACACCCGAATCACCCAATATGATCACTTTCAACAGTGACTTCTTACGTGTGCTACTCGTTGACGACATTATTCCTTCAATACAGCAATTCAATATCTCCAATAACCAAGTTCAAAATCAATAACGAACCAACCATACGCATATAACTTCATAACAATCTAATCTTATCACTATTTATCATAAATATTCACACATTTATTTCGTAAGAAGTGCAAATTCATTCAGCAGATTACGTTAGTAGCACGTAAATGAAATCAATCACGTACACTAAATGATAGCCGCCGAGTAAAGTGAATTGGTGTCATATTTTTGATAAGATATGGATGGATGGATATATCAGTGTTTAATATGATCAGGTGATGAGGACATTGAACGTCGGTCATATGGATACACCACAACATTCACTAATCAATACGAAATTCACTTAAAAAATGGTGATGAAGTGTATCTGTGTGCGTTTGTGTGTGTGTGTGTGACTCAAC